GCTACATATGGAAGTGTTATATGAGTTTATGTGATTTTATGAACTGGTGGAATGTATAGTTCACGATTTTAGTTCTCTGCTGCCCTCGTTGTTCTTCTCTCCTATGCTGTCATTGTTTTACCCTTGCTAATCTTTTTCCTTCTGTGGCTGTGCTGGTATAATATGCTACATTTATTCTTCATTGTAAGCTTTTCCCCTCAGATTTTTAAGTTAGCAAAATAGAGCTTTTGTCTGAAAAATCTAATTAAGTAATACGGTTCAATGACCTTTACTGAAAACTAGAATATAAGGTTAAATTTAGTTTCATATTCTATTTGGAGGAATCAAGAGATGTTTCTGTGGGTTTTATGTTCCTGGTGCTGATTTGTAGGAATAGGGATGAATTCAAAACGTGCTACCATTTCCCTATTATGCATGTGTCAATTCAAATCGTATTTATATCTTTTTATATTACCATTTTACATACATTTATTATTTTACCACACTTAATTCACATAAATGTGTAAATCTACTTTTAATTTAGAAACTAGTATTTTATAATTGGACCATAGAGATTAGATTCTTCATAAAAGTGTCATAGTACATTTCAAGACTCATGAATTAGTCCCTCTCTTTTTGTCCTGTCAGTCTCCCACCTTCCATGATCTTACGTTTTGCTTCTCTCTGCCATTTTTTGTATTTTCTCTGATTAGATTTTATACAGCTTCTGTCAGGTTTATCACTAAATATTTTGTAGGGTTTGATGCTTTTGTAAACAGTGTTTTTGAAAATTTAAATACTTATTGTTTTTTTCTACTATTTATATTTAGAAACATAATACTATTATATTTAGAAATATGTTTTCTGTCCATTGGTTTTTTTATCTTGCACCCTTGCACCCTTGATAAATATCATTTATCTTTATAAGTGGCTTTTTTGGTGTTTTTTTAATTGTTGTGCTGGGTGGGGATACATGGTGGTATTTACAAAAGTTCTTACAATATATCAAACATATCATATTTAAATTCGCCTTCTCCACCACTCTCCTTTATTCCTCCCTTCCCCCATTCCTACAACAGTTTCAGCAGGTATCATTTTTCCATTTATTTACATATGTACCACAGTATTTGTACTATATTCACCCTCCCAAGCTTTTTCCCTACCTCCATCCTCCTCCTACTGGGATCCCTCCCAGGTAGAACCTGTTCTGCCCTTCCATTCTCTGATTGTAAAAGAAAAAAAAATGACATTTTTTGTTTAAGATAGCTACACAGGTACTTTCCTTGTGACATTTCCATGTATATATGTACTGTAACCCAAATTGGTTCATCTCTACTTTTCTTTTTTCTGCCTTAGTCCCCTTTGTGATTTTACATGTTTAAAAATTCTATATTCATTCTTGTTTATATCAATTACATTCACCTTCTTAACTTCCTTCTTTTACCCTCCCCCTCCCATATGTGACCTCCCCTTAGTGTGACCTGTTTTTCATAATAGTGTTGTATTTGTATTAGGTCTGTATTCTATAAGTGAATTTTTGTTGATAGAGTTCATTGTACTTTCTACGTAGATGAGCATGTCTTCTGTGAATATAGTCAGTTTTCTACCTTTCTGATGTGAATGACTCTTTTTTTTTTTTGCCTTATTGCATCTAGAACATCTTTGCTGCATAAGAAGCTATACCATCACTTAATATTTTAGAATGACCAGTGTTTTTATTTTTTCTCACAGTTTCTGTGAGGCTTAAATCTAGGTGCTTCTTAGGTGGATGCCTCTGACTGTGGGCCTTTCACAGGGTTCCAGTCAAGCTGTGGTTGGATGTGAGACTCTACTCATCTGGTTGTTTTCAGGCCTTAGTTCTTCTGCAGATGTGCCTCTCCAAGGGCTGTCTCATGACATGGTAGCTGATTTCCCCAGGGACAGTGATATAAGGGAGGAAATGAGAAGGAGGGAGCACCAATACAGAATTCACACTTTTTTTTTCCCCAAATAGTATTTTCACAGAAATAGTATCCCAAGATTTCCACCACTTTCTACACTGGATACAAGACAATAAATATAGCCTACACTTAAAAGAAATGAAGAGTGGGACTGCTGCTGGGCCCTGGTAGCTCATGCATGTAAACCTAGCTGCCTGGGAGGTAGAGATCATGAGGATCTTGGTTCAAAGCCAATCTGGACAAATACCTTGAATCCACCCCCCCACAAAAAACGGGGCTAGCAAAGTGCCTCAAGTGATAGAGTGCCTTCCTAGCAAGTATGAACTCCTGAATTCAAACCTCAGTACTGCCAAAAAACAAGTAAATAAATAGAATGTGACTACCTAGACACACAGGCAATACTGAGACCCATCTTAGAGTGATATTGAGAGCCATCTTAGAAACTACCTGTCATTGTATATTAAATTGATAATTATACATTATTGAATTTAAGCCAACCTTGCATTCCTGAGATTAGTAATATTGTCATGATTTATTATCTATTATTGAATATATTATTCACTATTATTATTGAATATATTATATTATTGGATTCAGTTTCTTAAACATGGAACTATAATTTTTTGCACCTATGCTCATGAATGAGATTGATCTGTAGTTTCTTTATAATGTCTAATTTTAGTGTTGGAACAATGTTGACCTTGTACTGAGAAGTATTTGTTCCTCTTCACTGTTTTGGAAGAATTTCTTGTAGAGTTGATGTGATTTTTGTTTCCCTTAAATATATGGTTTATGTAACCACTGGTACATGACCACAAATGGAATGTTTTTAGTAGGCATGGGCCTGTTCAGTTTATGTATGTATTCTACAGTAAGTTTTGGTAGTTTTTGTCTTTTAAGTAATTTGTTATCTATATTGCTGAATTTATTGACATAAAGTTGTTCATAATATCTGTAGAATTTGTTGTAATGTCATCTCTCCATTTCTAATATTGGCAGTGTATACTTTCTACCTTTCCTTATCACTCTGGTTACGGGCTTCTCATTTTTTTATCTTCAACTTTTGTTTTTATTGGTTTTTGTTTTGCTTTCTGTTTTCTTTATTTCATTCAGGTTTTTTGCTTTTTATGATTTCAGTCTTCTGCTTATTTTGGGTTTCCTTTGCTTTGTATCTTATTATTTTCTTGGTACCTTATAGTAGAATCCAGAGTCATTGCTTTGAGATGTTTCTTCCTTTTTATATGCATTTAATATTATAAATTTGATTTTGATGTGCTTTTACATATTTTTCTTTGAACTTCTTGTGTTTGGAATTCATTGTCTTTGGGAACAATATGTTTATAATTGAATAGCCTCAGTTATATGGGTGGTTTCTCATTTATTGTCTTCATATATTTAAGAATACAAATCTTTAAAGCTATTGAGTACATTTAACCTACTTATGGTAAATTGTTAGGCTTCAATCATGAGTAGAATATTGTACCTTCAGTCTTTAAAAAATATTTTCAGTGATTTTTTTGTTGTGTTAAAAGCATGATAGTATCCTTCTCATTTGATTTAATTAAAATTCAACCTGTGCTTAGCGGTAAAGACACTCTTGGGACAGTGTTAATGCTTAATATTTAATTTAAAATATTTTGTTTCAAAAACATGAAAGAACTTAGTTTCATTATATGCTTTCCTATCTTAGTGGGTTTTAAAAAATAATATAATTTGGTATATTTGTTATGTAATTTAAAGGATATTAGAACATATAAAAATTACTAATCTTAGCCTTTACCTGTGAAGTTTTGGAGGTATTTGAAGTTAAGCTTGGTGTGTTTTCTCCTATTCTCTTCATTGCTTATATACACACCCAAATATTGATGTCTGTATCTGTGTCTGGGTTTATATCTCTGTCTGTATATATCCATATACATAGATACATTTAATCTCTATGTGAAATCAACCTACACATATTATTCCAAAAATTTACATTTTTACTTTAATAATATGGACTTTTCCTGAATATCTTCTGGTTTTCCTCATTTGATAGCATATAAGGATGTGAAACTAAAAGCAGTTTTATTTTAAGTTATGCTGTCTTTGGAGAAAATAATAAAATTTAATACTTAAGCTTTCTGTTCTGTGACAAAATACCTAAGATAAACAACTTAAAAACATGAAAAACTTATTTGTGCTCACAGATTCAGAGGTTTCAGTCTGCGGTCACGTTGCTCTGTTGTGTTTGGGCCTGTGGTGAGGCAGAACGTCATCATGATGGGGAGCACGTTGTTGAGCAGAGCTGCTCACCTCTTGGTGCCTGGAAAGCAAAGGAGACAATGGAAGGGGTTAGGGTTCCAATAGTAAGAAAATGACTGTAGATACTGGAAAGGAAGCAAAGGCCTAGTGAGGTAATGTAAACAAACTTTTGAAATGAGTGTTACTCAATGTTTTTTGTTAATAATAATATTACTCTTTTTTTTCTGTTAGCTTTGGAATTAAAAAGAAGATACCACCATTGTCCTCATTATTTAATATCTCTAACCATTGTTTCTATTCCATTTAGAAGATGAAATCAAGATGGGAACAGATTTCAAACATATGTATTCAGACATAAACCTTTAAACAAAACAATGGCTTTTTCCCCTCAAACCTTCATCAACTGCTTTTGAGATGACCCTTCAGTTAGTAGCTATCTAATTCAGCCAAGCTGTTTTTTTTTTTTTTTCAACTAAGTTAACCACCCTTTTAATTATTCAGAAATATCTTCTTATAATCAGGTGGTGAATCATGTGACAGTGTTGAAGAACCACATAATGTTCTTGTGGTCTATACTGTGAGCTTGTTGTTTTGGGGATAGTTTTGCCCTCCCCTCCCCTCTCTTCCCTTTTAAAACATAAGCTCTATGCCACTATAAACAAAGTGGTTATAAGGAATTTTTCATATTGTGATTGAGCTGGTTTAATTTTTATAATGTGGGCTTTTTGGGTATTTCCTGAAATTGAAGTTAGCACACTTTCTAGAATAAGAAGTCAGCATATTTAAGTGCTATTAAAGTTTCGGTGGAGAGTTCTGAATTTAATTTCTCTTATTTTCCAGATATGTGTCACAAAGATGTCTACACGGAACTGCCAGGGAATGGACTCAGTGATCAAACACCTGGACACAATTCCTGAGGATAAAAAAGTCAGGGTTCAGAGGACACAGAGCACTTTTGACCCATTTGAGAAACCGACTAATCAAGTAAAAAGGGTACATTCGGAGAACAATGCTTGCATTAACTTTAAGTCCTCCTCAGCTGGCAAAGAGTCACCTAAAGTTAGGCGGCACTCCAGCCCAAGCTCGGTAAGTCCAGCCTTCCCATTTATCACCAAGTAAACGGAAGGACCAGCACTCTATCCCTTCTGATAAGTAGTAACACACTGTGCTGGAAGAGCTCAGATGGTATAATCAGTGAGGTTTTATGCATTTTCTCCCAGGGTGGTTTCATGGTTTGAAGGAAAGTGAGCAAATTATATTGGACTCTTGGCTTATAACCATCTAGCAAGATAATGAAATGATTCAACTTATTTTTGGAAAAATCCTTTTTTTTTAGGAGTTTTTAATTAGAAGGATTTATAATTAAAACTCATTTATAGTTCAAACTCTTAGGTTCTTGAACTTTACTGTTTTGGGGAAGTTTTGAAACTGACGAAACTTACAGGAATTTCATTTCAGAATAAATGTTAAAATTTGTTCACATATGATTTTAAATTGGTTCCTAATGGAAATCTTTTAAAATGTAACAGCTAGTCATTGAAATTGATCTTCAGAGAAATTCTGTTTGTTGTAATGAAATTCACTAAACTCTAAATCAAGGCAATTTTGCCTTTCAGCTTCAGGCAGTTGTTGGGCTGCTAAAACAGAATATCAGACTGAATGGCTTAAACAACTGAAATTTATTTCTTGCAATTGTAGAGCTGGGAAGTCCAGGATCAAGGCTCTAGCAAACCTGGTGTCGGAGTGCCCTGTTGCAGATGGCCATCTTCTCCCATGTGGCAGAGAGACAGGGAGGGAGGGAGAAAGAGAGAGAGAGAGACAGAGAGGAGAGAGAAGAGACAGAAGAGAGAGATCATGGAGATTAAGTCTTTTCAACATTAATTTTAGGTGAATACAAATATTCAGTTTATAGAAGAGGCATAAAATTCTAAGGTGATTGCTACTTTTTGCCTAGAACTCATATTTTCAAGTCTGTCTTGCATTTAACATTATTTTAAAAAAATCCTCCTTTTTGAATTTAAGTAATTTTCAGATTTAAGCCATACTTAGAATCTTTTGACATAGATGCTGTAAGAGTTAAAAATGTAAGAGGAGAATATTCAGAGAATTTTGATTCTGTTACCTTACTAATAAACACATGCCATTTCACAAATTTTAAGTTGTAACTTTCATGAAGTCAAAACCTGAGCATGAAATATCAACTGTTAGAACACTGAAACTTCAATTTTATTAAGCTCTGTGACATTGCACAGGTCTTGTGTTACATTTTGTGTTAATAAAGCTGAAGCAAGTACTGTTGATGTAACATTTGTGAGAATTCACTATCCAGTTTTCCCAAAACTGTCCCCTGTTATCTTTATCTGTGATTATAAGATAGGGTCCACCTATGTCACAGGTATGTTACTAACTCCTAGAAGAGCTTTTAGATTTAGAATCATGTAGAAGAAATGAAAGAAATTGTTGAGAATGATAAAACCCATGCTATGCAGTGAATTACATATGTCTTACTACATAGTTATCTTAATGTTATATATATCAACCTATAAAATATATAGAAGTTGGCATACCAGATATTACAATGAGGTGTTCTTATACTAAAAAATATTCATTCTATCTGAAATTCACGTTTAACTGATTATCGTGTATTCTATCTGGGAATCCTAATTACAATCCACTGGTATATTATTTTTTTTCCATTGTTGTACTAATCATTCTTGTTTTTTTAGGTGTTCTTTTGAGATGTTTTCATCCCCTTGAATATTTCCTGTCCTATAAGATGCTCTTGGTTTATAATTATATTTTTCCCTGTCTCTGATCTAGAATCAGCCATTTTTTCAAAGCGCTCTTGTTCTTTTTATGGGTGAATGATACTTAGAAACAAGTGTCTGGGTGCTGGGTGCACTTACTGCTTATTGAGGGTCATGAAGTTTTCAAAGCCATGCTTAGATCATATTATAAATAATAATGGCAGGATTTTGATATTCATTTTTGATCTTTAATAAGGAATTAATTCAAATCCTTATCCAGGAAAGTTGGGACTCATCTGTCTGATGTGCTCTGTATTTCTTTCTCTTTAAAGTTAAGTTTTATTTTATTGAAGAATTACTTGAACATAGCTTGAAAGATCAAATAGGAGAGGACTCTGGGAAGATGCTAGAGGTGTATGTTTTTAAAGCTCTCATGTAATTAGAGAAATTAGTATAGTAAAACCAAAATCAGTGGATAATATCTATAACAAAGATAGATGACAGAGTATCTCTCTGAACCTCACCATAGGAGTGATTTGACAATTCAGAAACAGTTTTAAGACATAGGCAATATCAGAGAAAATGTTAGAGATTAAGCTCAGGGAAGGCATAGGGATTGGTGACTCCTCTCAAAACCCTGAGAACCCCAACCTGTCATCAAGTACCCAGTGGTAGCTCATTGGGCTATTCTTAGGACAGCAGTGGCTACTAGGAGGGGACCTTAATGGTTTCTGTGAAGAGACCTATGGTAGTGGGATAGTACTTATTATTCCTTTTGACACTTTTCTAAAATGACAAATTGAAGCACTTTCATGCCCTAAATAGCAGTTGTTGGAGTAAATTGTGTACATGACAGTTTTAATAGGACCAAAGAAAGACAAGGTCAAGGAAGAAATGTTGTAGGGAAATAAACTGTAGATATAATTAGTGATTTACAGGATAAAAAGGAACACAGTTATGTCTGTCTGTATGTATATATGTGTGCATCCACACACACATCACATATATATTGTACACTATTTACATACTGGATATTGTCTGTATTAGGAGCCATGACTGAAATCAAGGAACCAAGAATGCCTTGGTGTTAGTGGCCATCATGTTAGTCTACACTATGCCACTTTAAAATTCAGGCATAGTATAAACAATGTGACTTTATTTCAGTTAGCATATTTCAATGGAGTGTTTGATTTTATTTATTTGCTTCAAACATTTTTTAAGTGTCTACTTTCCACAGGGCTAGGCCCTAGGTAGTGTTTAGTACTATCACTGACATGATAACCCTTCACTATCCTTTCCTATCATTTGCCTTAACCCAGCTCAATAGCTACAACTATTGAAAGAACCATAGTTAAACTGCTTGTCTTACTGGCTCAAGTTAGAAGAGATTTAATTAAGCTGTACTGTTTTAAACTAAGCTTAAAGAGAGCATATTTTCAGAAATTCATATGTAAGTTTCTCTATAGATTCTAAAAATTGCTCTAAGTTTACCTCTTTAGATCCCCTGATAGATAGGCCTATCTAGAGAGAGAGAGAGAGGAGGAAGGTATAGACCTGCAAATGAGAATGCTACTTAATTTCTCAGCTACTCTTTCTTAGGGAAATTTCCGTTTATCATTGCTTTCTTCTTATGAGGAATAAAAAGTTCCCAGATAGAATCAAGACCCCTATCAGCTCATTACCATGTGTGGTTTTGGTTCATCCATCTATCCAGTATTTACATTTATTTTACAGTCAAGTTACCTGTCAACTGTGGGTATAAATGGTGTGTAGTACAGCCTTTTCTGGAGGTCAAAGGCAAAAGTCAGATTTGACTTCAAATTTTTGTATAATGTGGTCATGTAGATCTGAATGAATCCTTTCTAGTTCATTCTCACACTCACTTTCACAGTTACAGTACAATATACTATAGCAGTGATTCTTTCCTTGTTTTTGTTTTTGTGGGGACTAAGGTTTGAACTCAGAGCTTTGAACTTGAAAAGCAGGCTCTCTACTGCTTGAGCCACACCTCCAGTGCATTTTGGTCTGGTTACTTAGGAAATGGGAGTCTCATGAACTGTTTGTCCAGTCTGGCCTCCAACCTCCATTCTCCTGATTTTATTCTTCCAAGTAGCTAGGAGTAAAGTTGTGAGCCACTGGCACTTGGCAGCAGTGATTCTTAGTTGTGGTTTTCCTGCAGTTTAGAGTGACAGGGTATGGATCTTAAAGGTCCATCCCCCAACGGCCGTGTGTGGAAGGGTGGTCAACCAAGCCTTTAGGAGATGAAGCCTACTGGAAGGAAGTTGGGTTATTGGAGACAGGCCCTTGAATGGAATGTTGGGGCCACTTCCCCATTCTCTCTTATGCTGCTTCCTGGTCAGCATGAAGTGAACAGAATTCTTCTGCTGCGTGCTCCAATATGATACGCTGTGTTGCTGCAAGCCCAAAGCAGTGGGACCACACAGTCCTGGACTGAAACCATGTCCCAAACTGAGCTGTTCCTCCTTTAAGATGTTTATCTTAGGTGTTTCCTCATGGTGATGCAAAGTTGACCACACACAGGGGGCACTCAGCAATCTCTAACAAAGGGTTTGGCTAGAGTTAAAATTGATTTTCAACAAAGTCAATACCAAACTGTGGACATCCTTATGGCCATTTCATTGTATTATTACAGTGAACACTGAGGACTGTACATGCAGTTTATAAAGAAGCAATTCAACAGCCTATCGCTGCTTCTAGGAATGAGGTTTTTGTAGTAGATTGACTCGTGTGATTAGTATCTCCTTCATTTGGGTGGTAATTGAGACTTTATGGGAATATTCCATAAGGAGAGTAGCGGTAAAGAAAATAGATTCTTCATTCTGATAATTTTGTTTGGATTCTAGTTCTGCCGGTTCCTATAGGATCTTAGATGAGTTACGTTATTTCTCTAGTCTTTACATTCTTTGTGTTCAAAAGGGGATAGTAACAGAACTGATCTCATGGTGAGATTTTTTAGGGATTAAATTTAGGTAATGTATGTAAACTCAAAGCCTGGCACATACTAAACACTCACTATTTGTTGGTAGTTATTATTATACAAACAATGAAAGAGAGCCATTAAGGTTCTTAATGGCAGGATGGCAAGTGCTGTTCAGCTGGAACATTATCTGCACTTTCATTATCCACGCCAGCGTTCCCCTCCACTGGTCCAGACAATTGACAGTTCTCTGTATTTTATTTTGGTTTTGAAAAATGTATTAACATTATCTCATTAAATTCCACATCTCTATGTAGTTAGTGTCTGTTAGCAATTGAAGATTAGCCCTCTGTATTTCCAAGTCACTGATGTGCTATCTCCAGCCTGCATTTTAAACACGG